TCATGGTTTGGGGCATCCACTGGGGGTCTTAGGACATATCCTCTGTTGATATGGGGGGATCCACTATATATTTTTTTCTCTTTAGTACCTATCATGTAAATGTTTATGGAGTTTGTATACATGTTACTTCATTCTTTGAAATGTGTATCCATCATCTGTCAAGTGATGCCCTCCTATGTTGTTGGCCTGAATCTCTGCTCCCTAGAACTTATGTTTAGGTAGAACAGATGGACAACACACACCAAGTAAGTAGACTCTGTGAGGTAGGTAGTGAAGAAAAACAGGGTGAGCAAACAGAGGCAGAGGACACCAACTATAGGTGACTGACGGACCTGTGGGAACTTAAGGAATGGTAAGAAAACACCACATATAAAGGGGCTACGGGTGGCTTATTTAATAAGTTGCTTTGGGGAAATAAACTACTTGGAGGAAATTAACTCATAACTCATTCATAAGTTCCAGGAAGATTAAAAAGAGAAGTGTGCAAATGAAGACATAGCCTAGAACAAAATGATCTTACCTATCGAGAGGTAAAAATGGCAAATCTGAAAGTATAGAAGCAAACTCCATAAGGTGATGGACAGACTGCATAACAACTTACTATTTCTGGTATCAAAAGCAAATCATGAAATAAGTGAACAAATTGGGGGAAATACTTGCTACAAATGAGAACAACAAAGGGCTAATAACATGAATGTAGCACGTGTCCTCAATTCCTTTTTTTGTGCTTTTTAATGTTTTTTAAAATCAGGATGTTTCTCAAATAATGTGACCATTTAATGTGGCAATTAAAACATATCTTATAAGCAATAATATCTTACCATTAATGTGATTCTTAAGTATTTCTTTAAAAGTTAGTTTTTAAAATGAGTATGAACATTCAAGTTCTCGGTAGAAAATAGTTCATTCATTCGACAAACATTGGAGTGTTTACAGTGTCACTAAGGTGGTAGACATACAGCAGTAAACAAAAGCGACAAGAATCCTTGCCTTCAGGGCCTGTAGGCCAGCCCCTGCCTGGTGCCCCATACAGTGTCCACATTCCATCTAAGATCAGTTGGGTTATTTCAGGAAGAATAAATACCTTGGCCAAGGCCACTCAGCAGTTAAGTGATAGAAGCAGATTCCAGCTAAAGCCTGCACTACTCTAAACCCTGTGCTCTTCCCTTAAATTACCGTAATTGTTGGGCTAAATGAGACTTCAGCACTCATCTTGCTGACAGGGCTATCATTACCTGGGCCCGTCTTCCTTCCCACCTGCTTGGCACTGGCTTTAGGACTCAATTCAGGGGACTGTTGGTGGAAATAGAAAGCATTGCAGTGGGTGCCTCAGCCAGGGCTGAGGTCTTTTTTTGCAAAAAAGAAAGTTTTGCCAAGACGACACATTAAAAAGTCTAGTCCTCCATTATTTAGTGCCCTACAAGGTGCTTTTACAACTTGAGCTAAATAATATATATCATTTAAATTTTAACATGTTTTCGCAGTAAAAACAAGTAAACAGTTCACAATTGTAGATTTGGGGAAGCATGGGAAAGAAAAGGAACAAACCATACACTGTTCTCACTGTCTGAGAGACAAGTAGTTAGAAGCTTTCTTAAGGTGAGTTCTCTTAAGCAACCTGTGTGGGGAAGGAAGCTGGACAGGACGCTGGTGAAGAGGGAAACGAGGACTTGTTCCCCATCAGATACCAGCTTCCCTCAGATCCCACAGGGATCTTTAGACCATGAATTGTACCAGAGTGTCCCCACATGGAGGCTGATTTTGTATACCCAGTGTCAGACCAATCATTGGCTTTGTGCTCCCTGGAGGTATGGTGGAGGGGTCAGATGTTTCACCAGTGCAAGCCATTTGTGGCCATCTCCCAGTAGCTGGGGATGGGTGCACTGCCCAGCATGGGAATCCAGGTGGGGCACCAGCAGCCTCCACTACAGAAGTCCAAAAGAAATTAACCTTATCAAGTGCTAAGTTTTGCACATATATAGCAGCCGCCGGACTAGATGTGTCTATTGAACACAGGATTTATTGTAAAGGAACTTCCTGATTTTTATTTTGCTTTAGGATATTAAAGTGCTTGATCTGCTTTGGTATCAGGGAAAATTTGTTTCTCAGAAAAATATAGTTGGGAGCAGTGGCTCACACCTGTAATCCCAGTACTTCAGGAGGTTGAGCCCAGGAGTTCAAGATCAGCCTAGGCAACACGGTGAGACCTCGTCTCTACAGAAAATAAGAAAAAAATTAGCTGGGCATGTTGTTGTGCGCCTGTGGACCCAGCCTCTTGGGAGGTTTAGGTGGAAGGACTGCTTGAGCCCAGGAGGTTGAGGCTATGATGAGCTGTAATCATGCCACTGCACTCCAGCCTGGGCGACAGAGTGAGACCATCCCCTTCCCCCCACCATTCAAAAAAAGCAAAATCGTGGCAGGTGTGCTCTGCAGAAGCTAAGAAGGTTCTCATGGAAGTTTTCAAGCAATTGCTAGAAAAAGAAAAAAATAATTGTTCATAATATAGTTATCAGAAACTAACTACTATGTAATACCAACTTTCTCAAAAATAATAGCTACAGCTATCCATTTTTATTTTAGTTTTTTTCTAAAATCATCTTTCCACAGTGTTATTTTCCTGTAAATACATTTTTCCCTAGCAGTGTTTTGCTAAGAAAGTTCAACTCTATAAGTTTTCATTCTATGAGTTGGCTGTGTCTCCTTGTAAAAGAGTGAAATAGAGTCAAAGAATTTGAAGCCCTGGAGTTTTGCTGATTAGTTCTGTAATACCCTTGCTTGTGTGGAGAGTGTACTGAGGTGTATTATATTTAGGGAGCAAAACCTAGATCAGCTCTGGAAGCTAAATAATAACTGTAAGTGTAACACGAAATACCCCATTTCATGGATTCTGAAGCACAGCTTTCCTATATTTTATTTTATTTTTTTGAAAGGATTTATTGAGAGGACAGAAAAATTCCTACAGTGGGAGGGAACATGAGGGGAATGTGAGGGTGATCTGGCTGCGACTTCTGTCACCCCATTGATCCCCGGGGTTGATTCGGCGGATCTGGCTGGCTAGGCAGTTGTTCTCTTCCTCTCTCACCACTCCATGTGCGTCCCTCCTGAAGCTGCATGCTTGGTCAAAGAGGACAACCATCTCCGCTAGAGGAGGACTGTTATTTGGTCAAGGGTATATGAGAGGCTGTGCTCCCCTGCTAGCATGTCTGAAATCTGGACGCATCTTACAATCAATGGCATCCACTTTTAACTGGCAACATTTTTTCTTTCCGAGTAGTAGGTAACTAATAATGTACCTTACAATTGATGGCATCAGATTCAGCAAGACACAATAGATTAGATTTACTTTATAAGGGGGACCCCCCCTCCCAAAACTAGGTTTATCTTTTAAAGGGCGGGCCCCTTGTAAGTACACCTTGCCCCACTAGGTAAGTGTTCTAGGAACCCATCGGCATCAGAGTGCCAGCTAGTGTTGTGAGAGGCTGTGTTCAGCTTCAGTGAACTTTCTTTTTGAGATTCTTTCAATGCATTTGCTCATTTCATGATAGGGATTTATACAGCCTACCCACACCACACTGTGTGTTCAACAGTTTTTGACCAAAAATGGCATGACCCCATGCCCGATCTTGCCCCAAGTGACTTTTGTTTGTTTCCCCGAATGAAAAATGTCCTCAAAGGGAAACGTTTTGCAGATGTGGAAGAGGTGAAACAGAAAATGTCAGAAGCACTAGAAGGATCAAAATTGATGAGTTAAAAAACTGTTTTGAGCAGTGGAAAAAGTGTCTTGATGGGTGTATTGCATCAAACAAAGAGTGCTTTGAGAGTGACTGAAGTTTAAACGTATAAGAATAAATACACAGTTTTTGATAAATGAATTCCAGATTTTTTGGGTCCCCCTTGAATTTATTACAACATGGTGTGATTCTTACATATTATGTGTGTTTGAAGATTAATTCTTGAGTTCTTTTGTTGCATTTAGTTTTCCTTTTTCAAGCACCTATTGGTTTTTTTACTTTTAAATGAGCAGTTATTAGTAACTTAGTGCTGTTCAAGTTAGCTTTGAGTATAGCAAAGTAGCACTCAGACTATGGCTATAACCATATATTTGTAGAGAAAATTGACTGAGCGTGGGGTCTCATGCCTGTAATCCCAACACTTTGGGAGGCTGAGGTGGGAGGATTGCTTGAGGCCAGGAGTTTGAGACCAGCTGGGCTACATAGTGAGACTTTGTCTTTACAAAAAATTATTTGTAGAGGGAATAATCTTTAAAGAAAAAGAAACCACTCCCCACCCATATAAACTGGTTGACTCATCCCAAGAATGCCTGTTGCTGTTATATAGATTCAGCCTACATATAAAATTCAGCATGTTAGTGTTAGGTTTTTTTTTTTTTTAATCTACTTTTAACCAAACCATCTTGGAATTATTTTCTCATAATTACAGAACATACTTCTGTTTGTTGTTGTTGTTACTTTAACCTTTTTTTTTTTTTGAGTTGTAGTCTCACTCTGTCACCCAGGCTGGAGTGCAGTGGCATGCTCACAGCCACTGCAGCCTTGACCTGTTGGGTTCAGGAGATCCTTCCACCTCACCCTTCCAAATAGCTGGAACCACAGGCATGTGCCACCACGTCCGGCTAATTTTTTGATTTATTGTAGAGACAAGGTCTCACCAAGGTGCCCAGGCTGATCTTGAACCCCTGGGCTCAGACAATTCTCTTGCCTCTGCCTCCCAAAGTGCTGGGATAACAGGCATGAGCCACTGCACCTGGCACTTTAACCTTTGACTGACAGGTAGCTCCTTTACAAAAAGACACTCAAACTGAAACTAATATAGATGAAAATGAAAATAAATCACCTTTTCTAAATTACAGTGAGATTTGCCCTAGAAACTGCTAAGTATTTCTAGAAACATGATCTTTGAGTTTCATTTGAGAAGTGTGATTCCTCAGAGATGAGACAACACCGTAACGCTGTTGGTGGGTTGTCTTTCTCTCTTCCCAGGCCTTGAACCGGGGCATTGCTGCTGTCAAGGAGGATGCAGTTGAAATGCTGGCCAGCTACGGGCTGGCATACTCCCTAATGAAGTTCTTCACGGGTCCGATGAGTGACTTCAAAAACGTGGGCCTGGTGTTTGTGAACAGCAAGCGAGACAGGACCAAAGCCGTCCTGTGTATGGTGGTGGCTGGAGCCATTGCCGCCATCTTTCACACACTGATAGGTAAGGCCGATGACCGCCACTTATGAATCTAGCTTTGGAAATTTCTTATTCCTTTTCATTGATGTGAATATATTTATTGGGATAAGTGACTTCTTCACTAATTATCAAATATTTCCTAGGAAAATTTCAGGGAATGGAAAAAATGGAGATTATACACCAAGCTCAAAAAAATAAAATGTGTTTTCTCTGGAGTCTGTAGTTTTGTGTCTCTGATAACCAAACTCAGAGGAGTGATTATGTTAATGACTGATTATGTCTAGGAATAGCATTTGGTGAGGTCAGTGCAATAGTAGGTGTTTTTGTTAAAGATATATGTGCATCGATGTACTGACTCATTTAATCTGAAGAATAAAAATGGAACTATTGGCCTGGTACAGAGGCTCACGCTTATAATCCTAGCACTTTGGGGAGGCCCAGGTGAGGAGATTGTTTGAGCTCAAGAGTTTGAGACCACCCTGGGCAATATAAAGAGACCTCATCTCTATTAAAAAAACAAAGAAAAAAAATTTTAATTGGAATGATTGTTATTTAGAATTAATACTTATTAGCAGCAAGAACAAGTGACTAATTACCTTATTTATTAAATAAACTTGTTCTAGGGCCTCATTATTCTGTTTTATTCAAAGACAAGGCTAAATACTATTGTCATAACATTCTTTCCATGAAACAACAAGAAGTCCCAGTGAGTGTATCATACATACAGTGACTGGCCTACTTAACCAAGACCTTGGAAAAGCACATTCGTTCAGGGCTGGTGTTCTGCTTCTGTTGCCTTGGCTAGGTGGTGATGAAACCTTACGGGCATGATTTCAGAACTTCTATGCTTTAAAACAGCTTCGCTTACCTAGCATAAAAATTGAGTGGCATGTCTGTTGACACCAGTTGCATGAATCACTGTGAATGACACCTTATAAACCCACGTGTACCTAAAGTTGTTGTTGGTTGTATGAGAAGCTGAATGTCAGTGGTGACCAAAGGAGCCAGAAGATTAACCCCAACTAGTGTATTTGCATGGCAGCTAATATTTACTCAATTAATTGCTAATCTAAAAGTAAACAAGGTACAGCCTTTGTGGTTTTCCTTTTAAGTGTGACATAGAATTTTGTGCTGAGAATTCTGTGGAAGAGAGTACGTCTGCCGATGGGCCAGTTTTCAGCCAGATCATCAATACTAATTGTTTAATGTGTGCTCCGAACTTCAGGGCATGGGATGAAGAGGAGATGCTTTTCGTTTCCTGATATATACCCTGAATGCTGACAATGCACTGAGTATTTGCACATGTACCTGCTTTTATTTATTTATTTTTAAAAATAATTAATTACTTTTTTTTTTTTAGTTGGAGTCTTACTCTGTTGCCCCGCCTGGAGGGCAGTGGCATGCTCACGGCCACTGCAGCCTCGACCTGCTAGATTCAGGCAGTCCTTCTGCCTCAGCCTTCCAAGTAGCTGTAACCACAGCCATGCATCACCCCACCACACCCCGCTAATTTTCAATTTATTGTAGAGATGAGGTCTTGCCAAGTTGCCCAGGCTGGTCTCGAAGCCCTGGGCTCAGGCAGGCCTCTCGCCTCTGCCTCCCAAAGTGCTGAGATTACAGGTGTGAGCCACCGTGCCCGACCTATACCTGTATTTAAAGAAACTTTCTGCAGCTAGGTTTGATCTGGGCCATTTTCAACAATGGTATATATGCAGTATATGGGAATATACCATATTTTTTTAAATAAGCAGCTTTTTCTAGGCCCAGGGCAATGGTTCACACCTGTAATCTCAGCATTTTGGAAGGTTGAGGCAGGAGGATTACTTGTGGCCTAGAGTTTAAAACCAGCCTGGGCAACATAGAGAGACACGTCTGTCTGTCTGTTTGTTTGTTTTTTACTGGGACTTCTAAATAAAATTAACATTGCCTGGTTAGCCATGGTTGAATAAGACTTTGCAACTAATACTCAATTACCATGTGCCAATAATTATGGAAGAGAAAAGCCAAGTACTATGTTACAATTGTCAGGAAGAAAATGTGGTCACTGAAATAAAAATCAATGTCATCTTAGTTTTTCAATTTTAAAATAGAATCATGAAATTTTAAACTTAAACCAAAATGGTTCTATGCCCCAGATATATTCAATCATCATTTTGATCACTTTTGATATTTGAACAATCACAGCATTTCTCCTTCTACCAAACAATTGTTTTCTACAATTGCTATGAAAACACGTCAGTTTCTTTTGAACACTTAAAACTCACATTTTTATGATTGACCCTTTTCTAGTTCGTTGATGTCATTTCGGTTGTTTGCCTAACTCTCCAATCGCTCTCTAACTTTCTGCCACCAGCTACATCATTCATTTTCACTTGCCTTCCTGCCTCCTTCCTTTATTTATATCAATGACTTACAAGCCTTTCTGTACCCAGACCTTGCTCGTCTGTTTCCCATAATTCTGACCACAAGCTCCATGAAGGCACCTTGCTCACTCTGTCTATCCTCTACCTATTCTTACCCCCCTTTTTGTACATCATTGAATGTTTTCCTCCCAATGTCGTTTTCCACCTTATGTGGCACCTACATTAGACACCGAAACCCATTTTCACCTCCTAGTAATGCTGAAAACAGCTACTTAACATCTCTACATTAACAGTCAGCTCTTGGGTAACTATGCTTGTGACAGGGGAACGTTGACATAGATAAAACAAAAAGGCAAATATTCCAAATATATTTGACTTGAGAATCCATTGTGTGATCTGAAGCCATCTTCCTAATTATATTTGCTTGGGCTGATATTGAAATGAACATGTGTTCCCTGTACAAACAGCTCCTGGGCAGGGTCTGCAGTAAGTACAAGAAGGCATGAATTACAGATTCACCATCCAGAGTGGAAATGTGAGCCAGAGAAATCTAGGTGTAAAACTTAATTTCTTTCTATTTTTTTTATTCGGACAAAACTAGTTGAGTTGCCTTAAATGTTCATTTAAGTGCTAGTTCCTCATCACCTTCATGAATTTTCTTTTCTCTTGTCAAGTTCTTCTAATTTTTCAGTGCCATTTATATAAGGGCATGCATGGGAGAGTATTAAGCAGGAAGAGATTCTTTCTTTTTGGAGATGGGACAGGCCTCATGGACTGGGTCATTTCTTAATTCTCTCTGGAAAGATAAACTATATTTCAGCTCAGTCTTTGGTTTTTTTTTTTCTTGGCTTTGATGTAAAATAAAGTCAAAAGTTAAGATTTTTCTATAGCCATCTAAAATGGTCCTAGGGTGATCTTCCCTGAGATTTTTTTCCCCAGTGTAGATGAATTTCAACACTTCCTACTTTTTGGTATTTTCTAATAATTTATCAATCCCTGGATGATCTTCTTCACTTAGAAGGGATTTCAAATGTGACCATCCCCAGCTTTAAAAAAATCAGTTGCCAATGTACCTCCTTACTTTCACTCACCCGGTGTCCTCTCTGTGCCTCTGTTAACTGATCACAGTCAGATGATGGAAATAGGCTCAGGTCAAAGAGCTCTAAAAGCTCTTTTGTGATGTCATCCCTTATTAATGGTGTTTGCCCTGATAAGGAAACTTTTATTAGGTCCTTTTTTTTTTTTTACTACATTTGCTACAGTTAAGGAACTCTCTTTCCTTGTGTTCCATCTATGTTTTTTCTTATTAATTTTCCTTTTGGGTCCCACCGGCAAGCTAGACATCCTTCCATCCTCGAGACATTGGCACGTGATTATGGGTTTTCCCAGTCAAGGCTGGGGCTGATTCCCCTGCGGCACAAACCTTGTGCAGTGAGCCAAATGTGTAGATACTTAGAACTGTGTTGGATTGACAGAATTGAGGTCTAGAAGATCCACTGGGGTCCAAAAGTTATAGTCCATTCTATACACACCCATAGCCTGGCGTTAGACACCCAAATTTGTAGGAGCCTTGGGAGCATTCTTGGCCTATGTTGGGCAACTATTAGTATGTATCCCTTTTTTGGCTTGACTATAGCCATGACTTCTGTTGTGGACTCACTTAGGAGACACCATTTTTTAAAACTGCAGAGCACGGGGTTTGCTGCCACCACACCTTAAGTTAAGCATCCTGTTTCTCCCTCTTAATGAATCTGTAAAAGAGAAAAGCTTGCTGACCTTGCATTTGGTTCTATTGGTTCCAAATTAATTTCACGTGCATGGAAATTAGTGTCGCCTGACTTCTTAATTCACCAAGATGTTATAAGCTTTGCTATGGATTTTAGCTTTCTTTACACATTTATTTTCAAGAGTAACCTGAAAGGCCTCTTCTGTGTTCCAAAGCAGCCTGGGCAGTCAGCACAACGCAGGGGGACAAAACCTTTGCGGGTTCCTGTGCCCCTCCAGGGAGCAATTGAAGTAATTTCTAGACTGGTTCTGTTTGCCAGGCTTGTTTTCAAACTTTTCCATTATTCATGGGTTATAAACCAACTCTGGGTGAATTGGTACGATTTGACATAATTTAAACCAACAAGTGTTCTAGGACAGACAGTTTCAATGTAGTCTCACAGTTTATTGCCATGTAAAGAGCCACCCCAATGTTCAGTGGCTCAAAACACAAGCATTTATTTTTGTTCACCAGACTGCAGGGCTGGCTGGGTGGATCTTTTGGACTTGGCTGAGCTCATGCCTCTGTGGTCAGCTGAGGGTCAGGAGGTGGCTCCGCGACCTTGGCGGGCTCCCTGGGGGCTGTCAGCTGACTGCATGCTGGCCTGGAGGGCCTCTGCTGGGACAGCTGAGCTCTCTTCCACACAGTCTCTCATCCTCCACTAGCATTGCTGAGACGTTTTTAGATGGCAATGGCCACACTCCAAGTGAGAGGGGAGAAGCATGCACAGCTTCTCGAGGCCAAGAATCCGACGACTGGTACACCATCACTGCCACTGCACAAACCAAACTGCACTGACCAGAGGAATCATAGGCTAGCCCAGACCCCAGGGATAGGGAAGTAGACCCCAACTCTTGACAGAAGGAGCTGCAGAATCACAAAAGGAGTGGACGGGG